CCAAAAAAGAGTTTTTCGAATCATTTTTTTAAAAAAACTAATAGCTGCATTTATTCCACATGTCATTATACATCAGCTAATTCTATAACATGTAACCATCAATGCACTTATAACTTGTCAAAATATGCTTCAACCGCTGATGATGCCATGTATTCACACTAACCCAAAATAGAAGTGCAACCCAAAACTAAAACACATAGTCAATTACCACATAAACAACAGAAATAACAAAACAAGAATTATAACCAAAAGCATAAACTAAATATAAACATGTCCCTTAATCATTTTCCTTCCTCTTTGAAATAAATCTCTCTATTCCTCTTCTTCCATCTCAGCACCATTGTCTTCATCATCATCTCCATCTCCATCAGTTGCTCTAGATGAGCCTGCCCCTCCTTGGAAATGTGGCATGTCCCCAAGCCACTGCTAGTAAGATGCAAACTCTTCTAAGCTCATCCATATGTGCTGACCCGGAAATTGCAGCTGAGCTTGATGGTGGTAAGCATGTTACTGATGCATTTGGCCCTTTTGGATAGCAAAATTCTGGAGAGCCAAATGATCTAGTCTGAGCTCTAGACAGTGGAGGCGGTCTGCAAATGTTGAGTCCTCCAGTCAGCTGGGTGCTTCCTGGATTGGTGGCTCTTCAAGCAGAGGCTGAGGCTGAGACTGTGGCTGAGGAGGAGGTGGTGGAGCTCCAGGCTGATCCTCTATGCAATGGTTTTAGATATAGGCTAGGGTGATGGGAAGCTTAATCGGTTCTGTAAATTGAATACCCCTCACTCCCTAAGTCTGACATAATGCATTGATCAATATCGGGTACCCAAGTGAACCTCTCTCTCTCTTCTTGATCACAAATCTATAAATCTCATCTGTGATGATACGGGCTACATCCACAGATCCTCCTCTCAGTATGTTGTACAAGAGGTAACAGTACCTCATGGTCATGGATGAAGTGTGGGCTCTAGGGACTATGTTGTGGCATATGAAGGTGGTCCACACTTGAGCTAGGGTGGTCATGTTCTTCCTGTAGATCCGCAGAGCCTTCCCTTCTGGATTTGAAGTGTAATTTCTGTTTGCAATGCATAAGGCTTGAGCGGTAGCAGTATCACTGAAGGGCTGAAAGGATGAAGTGAGCTTTGTATGAAAGAAATCTGTCTCACCCTCCTCCAAGATGCAAACGATTTCCCAAAAAATTGTTGATGGCATCTCTGGAGTAATCAACCCAGACTTCTCTTACCCTAGACCTTGTATCAAGCCTTCTTGAATTAAACTCTGGTTTAGCATTGGCATAAAACTCTTTAACGATATCAGGGTCATAATATCCTCTCAATTAAGCCAATATTCTCCATCGTCGCCTCTCAATTTCATTGTTAAATTCATCAAACTCCCCTTCCTTCAAGTCAACTCTCCTTTCCTCAATAATCAACCAGTCCTAAATTTCCTTAAATCTGTCCTCTCTGTCCTAGTCTTTGAATTTTCTTGGATCGGATGGTAGTGGCTGTGAAGAGGAAGCTCCTTTTTGTTTCTTGGATGGAGGAGTGATGGCCATATTTTGTTCCCACATTTATAGTTTTAGTGCATCCTTTACATGTCTTTTCATTCCCTTATTTCTTCCATTTAATGTGTTTTTTCATTTTGCGCTTTAATTAAGAATTTCTTGTAAATACTCATGTTTTGCATTTCTGACCTTTGTTTACTAATTTGGCCATAACTTTTTCTGTAGATATCTTTTTTGGTTGATTCTTTTTGCATTAGATTCCTTACTTCCAGGGCTTCAATTTGGACATTTGGATCATGCTGTTTAGAGTTTGGAGCTATTTTCTATGATTTTTAGAATTTTATACTTTTAGTTTGACTTTATGTATTGATTTTGTTTTGTCTTTCTTTTTCTGTTTTTTTATTTTATTTTCGGCCTAGCCTTGGTCCATTTATCTTATTCTTTTAGGACTAGTATTTATAGAGGTCAGGGGCTGATTTGGAAGCACCTGTAATTTATTTTTTCATTTTTCCAGTTTTGTAGAACTTTCCCACTTCCAATAAACTCTCATTTTTTTTACCCATTTGTCTTCTTCTCTTGCACCTTTTCATTTCGAATTCGTGTTTCTTTGCATTTACAATTGAAAGGCGTTTAAGTTTGTACAATTTTAAAACATTTTCTTCTACATTTCTCACTCAATTACGTTGCCAAAGTCTGAATCGCATTTGTTCAATTAATTGATTGTTGTGCAGAAGATATTTAAATAAATTCGGTTTAATCACTTACGTTTGTGTTTTGTGTGTTCTGGATCTTTGATTGTGTTTGATTATTATTCTTGGTTTTCATTCTCGATTTTAGTTTACTTGCGATTTGATTTATCTGCAATTTAATTCTCCACAAATTTAATCAGAAAACTCCCTTACCCTAAACATACAACTCTTTTCTGCATAATTAATATTGAAACAATGTGCATTTTCATCCTTGTGAGAGATGACCTAGGTTGCTCCTTAAACTTCATATTTTTATGAGAAATCTAGTTACTTTTGATACATGTGCGACATGGATATTAAGGAGTTAGGTCTTTGTGAGCTCTAACCTTAATTCTCTTGCAAAACCTAGATAGCAGCCAAACAACTCAATAAATTATCACAAAATAGTTAATTACATGTGAACAACTACTCCATTATCAGCAAATTCACTCAATACTTCCATTCAAAAATTAAAACAATATGCTTCAATCAAAGCATCTCAGGCTGTAATCAATTATAAACACTCAGCTTAAACCAAATACAAGATCTAATTCACTATATCATGACCCTTGTCATTGCAACATGAACACCACAATTGAAGTTCTAATTTTCAAAATAATTGTTAAATCAAACAACTCTAATTTGAAAATTAAGAACTAAATTATATGCACCTTCATTGCTAAAATTCCATTCAATCCAAAATAAACCCCTTTTCAATTAGTAATCTATATTTTAGGGTTCATAGAATCAGGAAAATTAGGGAAAAATAACACCTAAGGAGCTGCCATTTTCAAATATTCACAAAACCCTAGCAATGTTCCTGTTACTGACCCTATCTCTGCATTTCAAATGCATCTTTTCAGGGCAATCTCACTAATAACTTAGGGTTTATGGGGAGTTTCAATTTCAGAATCACATTATAACCCCAACTAGCAAAAATTCACGTTTTTAGATCCTAGGGTTTGGGAAATATACATTTGACAGTAAAACACTAAATTATCAAATTGATAACTCCATATTTGCATTTCAATCAGCGATTTCTGACAACTTTACACCTAAAAACCTAGGGTTCATGAGTTGGGAGATGAACAACAGAGAAAGGACCAAATTAACATAAAAAAAGAAGAGAAACCACTTATTCTTGACTCATTGTGCGAAAACTTAAACGAAAAGGAGTGAGACTTGATCGATTTGTGATAAGGAAGAGATTTGAGAGAATTAGGGGGAAAAGGGCTCATTTAAAATGCTAAAACGGTCCTATGTTATGTATTTTAAAAACTAAGTCGCGAGCCTCTCGCTACAGCGACACAATTCTCGCTGGAGCGAGAAGACGACAGATTCCTCTCTCAGTTACAGGCGACTCTCGCTACAGCGAAAAAACTCTTGTTGTAGCGATAAGGCAACAGTTTCAATATTTTTTTATAAGGTTCTCTTGCTACAGCGGTGGACATCTCGTTGTAGCAAAAATATCAGAAACTTTGGTGCAATTTTTGTCTGATTTTTTAGCTGCAGCGAAAAGGGTCTCGCTGCAGCGACAGTGTTCTCGCTACAACGAGAGTTTTCTCTTTATAGCGACAAGCTCACAGTTTCCATCCCTTTTTTTGTTCCACTCTCACTACAGCGACAATCCCTCGCTGTAGCGAGACACGAAGATAGAAATTAGGTTATTATGTTTGCCTTTTGCTGCAGCTAAGTATCTTGCTACAACAAGCCATCTCGTTATAGTAAGAAGAGCACATAATCACCCTCTTCACAATCAAGTATCCTCGCTGCAGCGAATATTTCTCGCTACAGGGAGAAATCTCCAGACCTAACTTTCTGTGCGACTTCATGTTTTAATGCTCTTTTCTGACTTTATCAAGTTTTTTTTCAACTTTAATTGATGATTCTCTATTGATTCCAACTACAAAATAGATCAAAAAGGGATTAAACCACTAAAATTGTATTCATTTCTATATATATATATATATATATATATATATATATATATTTGTAAAAATTTCAAGTTTGAGAGAATTTAACAAAATAATTCAACTTTTAACATAAAAAGTGTTGAAATCACCATCTCAAATCACTTATCAATAGACTGAAAGAGATGAATTTTGCTACCTAAACGAAAAAAAAAAAAAAAAAAGGAATGGAAGAGATTAAAGATTAAGGAAGCAATGGAACGCAAAGTAGTGATGGGTGGCGGTGGGCGGCAGCTAGATAGAGAGGGGATAAGAATAGCTAGCAAATTAGGTTTTAGGTTTAGGTATAAAGTTGATAAATAAAGGCTTAGGCATTTACAAGTATTTTAGTGTGTGTATGCTTTGATGTGGAAGACAGCAGAAGCACACAATGGGGTGAGTGTGTGAGAGTATTTTGGCTTTAAGTGTATCTTTGTGTGTTTGCATATTGGGTCACACTGTGGGGACTAGCCATGTGCTTCAACCACTCTTTGCTCTCAACGCGGCTTCCCAAACCCTATAAATAGACTTCAACATTCTCCATCTCAACACCAACCCAGTTTGTGGGAATTCATCTTCACTTCATTCCCATGGCTATACACAGGATTTCCAGTGTTGTTTTCTTAGTACTATTGGCTATAGGCATATGTTCTGCCAGAAGGACCCTTCTCACTCTTGATGGCTATCGTGGTGGTAGTGGTGGTACTGCTGGAGGTTATGGCGGCGGCGGTGGAGGTGGTTCAGGTGGTGGAGGTGGATATGGAGGGGACCATGGAGTTGTTGGCTATGGAGGTGGTAGTGGTGGAGGGCAAGGTGGGGGAGTAGGATATGGTGGTGGTGGTGGTGGTGGAAGTGGTGGAGGTGGTGGTTATGGTGGTGGAGGAGAGCATGGTGGTGGTTCTGGTGGAGGAGAAGGAGGTGGAGCTGGAGGGGGATATGGGGCTGGTGGAGAACATGGCATTGGGTATGGAGGAGGTGGTGGAAGTGGTGGAGGTGGTGGAGCTGGGTATGGTGCGGGAGGAGCTCATGGAGGTGGATATGGAAGTGGTGGTGGCGGTGGTGAAGGAGGAGAGCATGGTGGTGGTTATGGGGGAGGTCACGGAGGTGGAGCCGGTGGAGGGTATGGTAATGGTGGAGAACATGCGGGTGGTTACGGTGGCGGTGAAGGAGGTGGAGCTGGTGGAGGCTATGGTAACGGGGGAGAGCATGGTGGTGGTTATGGGGGTGGTGAAGGAGGTGGAGCTGGTGGAGGGTATGGTGCCGGTGGAGAGCATGGCATTGGGTACGGAGGAGGTGGTGGAAGTGGAGGTGGATATGGAAGTGGTGGGGGTGTTGGTGACGGTGGTGGAGGAGCATATGGTGGTGGCGGGGGCAGTGGCGCTGGTGGAGGAGGTGGGTATGGGGCAGGTGGGGCACATGGTGGTGGTTTTGGAGGAGGTGGCGGAAGTGGCGGAGGCCACGGTGGCTATGTTCCCTAAGAACTACTCGAAGGCACGCAACATATATATGTATATCCGAGGGTTCCCTTTGATATCAAGAATAAGTACTATCAATTATAGGATCATAATGACAATTATATTATCACCATTATAAGTTATGATTATCAACTCGTGATTTTTATGCAATAAAAATATTTATTTCTACAATTATTAATTGCAATATCGTGCAACTATTCTCAGCTTTGGCTTGCTCATCTTGTTACATTTTGCATGATAGGAATATCTTTATTTCATGTTATCCTTTTTCTAAAAAGAAATAATGATAAGTTATCAAAATTAATCAAAAATTAATCAAAAATTATAAATTTATACCATCTTTTAAAAATATTTATACTATTAAATAGTTAAACCGAATATATTGAACAATAAGTAAAAAGGTTCATATGAAATCTCTATATATGTGTACATTAACAAAATTCTATGCTTCTCAATCTCACCATTAAACTGTAGCAGCTCTGTTCGTGACACTTGTCTCTTCATTTATTTAATTGTTTATTTGATCTTTTATCCCAAATGCAATAAAAATAAAGAGAAAATTTAGAAAAATAAATAACTTATTTTTTATTTCAATTTGATTTTTATTATTATTTAAAATTTTGTGTATTACAAAAAATAAAATGTTGATATTAAATAAAAATATATTGAAAAAAATATCCATAATACTTTTTCGTCTTAATATGATTGTTAGCATTTTTTAAAATTCAGTATTGAAATTTTTTAATTTTTATAGTTTTGTGTTCAAATACAATAAAAAAATAAAAATATGGAAAAAACTTTTGTCATAATATGATTTTCTTTAGCTTTAAAACTTATGTAATAAAAAATTATAGTGGTTATGTTTATGTGGAGAAAAAATTATTTAGATTAGATGATAAAAGTAAATAATTTATGTTAAAAACCAATTAAAATGAATTTAAAAATTTGGAAAAATATTTTATAAAAACATTTTCCGTCTATAAGGTTTTTTGTTTTTTTTGGCATTGTTTAAAATTGTGTGCAATAAAAAAAATTATCATTATTTTACATTCAAATGCAATTAAAAAAAATAGCTACCATTAAAGATAGTAAGTCCTTTGGTTTCAGTTTACTCTATAAGTATCTTTCTGTGTGATTCTTATCATATGTTTTTTTTTTACCTTTAATAGCCTCAGTTCACAAGCTCGAAATGTTCATCTTTACTTTATATTTTATCAATATTTTAAAATTAGAATTGTGGGAACAAAGAGAGAATGCATTGGAGAGGTCAGCTTAGGAAATGTTTAAGTGCAATAAATATCCACAGTTAATGAATTTTGTAAAAAAAATTGATTTATTTAGGCTCTATTTGTTAAAATTAGTTAAAAGATTATACCTTCTAAATGATAATTTAACTAAATTTATAATTTATAATTAATTAATCTAATTAAAGGTGTTTAGTAAAATAAACTGTATAACTAACTAAAATATGTTAAATGACTAAAATAAATGTGTTAAAATTATTTTGTGCGAGAATGAATCATTTAAAAGATTAAAAATGAAAATAAAAACAAAATTATTGAAAGTTAACTTTGAATTAAGCTAAAATTTACTTACAGTAATTTTACATAAACTAACTTTCAAAAATTTTAAGCTTTTTTTAAATGTTACAAACTTTTTTTATATTCTTTTTAATTTGTTAGATTATTAACAAAGAAAAAAAATTATTAGTTAAGATGTAAGCATATGTTACTAAACATAACCTTAATATTTTGAGATTACGAACTAATTAATAAAAAGTTAAATTTTTTAATTAAAATTACAAAGGTTTGATTAACAACGATTTAAAAAAAATGTACTTATAATAGTAATCAAAGATAAAAGTTCACTAAGACTATTATCAGTTAATAAATACATTTTATAAATTATATAATTTCTGCTTTATATATGATACCCTGTAAGTTATATTTGAAAGTAACTAACATAAATTAATCGACTAATTAAAGGATTATCTTCCCGTGCATAGCATGGGTTAACCATATACTAGTAGAATACAAATTAAATACGCGAAAATACTTGTGTTGTTGCATGTTATTTCTGGGGAGTTTTCGTTCCAACACCTTTGGTAATTGTCATGCTCTTCTGTCCTTATCTATGTTGTAGTTGAGGATGTTCCTATCCTGTCTTTACTTATTAGTATCCTTTGATTCCTCAGAAACTGTCATCTGAAGCGTGGGTGCTGAAGACATTACCAATTCTCTGGAAAAGCTTTCACTGTTATGAATCATGCGCCTTCGTTTGATCATGTCTACCCTTCCTTCATCATTCATCATCAGAATGTTGCATGGAATTTTTTTAGCATAGAAATCTCTGTCCCTTTTATGAGATCTGTTCCGTATAGTATTTCAAATCATTACAATATAATCCTCCTCAAGAAACATGAAATAACTAACATTTCTTAGCGGCAAATAAATTTGTTTTGATGACCAATCAAACATTTTAAAATAGTAAATTAATATAATTGAATAAGAATTAATTCCAATGAATATTTATATACCCGTCAAAGACCACCCATGCTGGACAAAGGGTAACAATTTGCTCCACAACCAGAAGTCGTAGAGGATAACCCATTACAATTTTCTTCTGCGGCACAACCTGCATTGCAGTATTGATCAATTTGTTTATTCACCAAAGTTTGCAAAATATATATAAAAAATAAAATGTGATAGTAATTAGTAAAGTGGTGCTGGTAATTTTTGTACCCCATATTTTCTGCAAAGATCTATAACCGCTTGACGCTTGACATACTTGACATCATTTCCACAACCAATTTTCTCTTGCACAAGAGGTTCGTCTTCCAACTCCACCGTCCAAAAATCATTTCTCCTCTTCAAAGAGACTACACAACATTACACGGTTTCTGGTGAGATAATTCGTCCATCGAACTGGTTGTTAGCTTAGGAGTAGTTGTTTGTTTAACGTGTCATTTATCATAGGTGTAATGTTATATTTTGAATTCAATAACTGTTGTAATTATTCGTATTGGGTAAATAATTTAGGTTCTCTTGAATTTAAACTCATTGGATTTGAGAAATGAAGCAAACAATTTTCCTAAGGGTGATAGGAACCTATCACTCCATCACTTTCACTTTCATAAACGGAGACTCTCTCTTTTGGCGGCAGGATTATATGACGTTTAGTTTAAGGGTGTTTTGCTATTTACCGAAAGAAAGTAATGAATGTAATTTTGGAATACTCTTATCACTTTTAATTTTGTATATATAATGCAGTTATAAAAGAAAAAATAATAATATTTTAAATAAATATCACTCAGTAAAAGATTTTATAAATATTCCATAGTTTTTATCTAACAGTGTGTTCAGATGAAAGAAGTAAATTAAGAATGAAAGAAATAAAAAAAAATAGAGATGAAATAAAGTAGTTTTTGATTGATGAAAATAAAAATGTAATAAATTAAATGGATCGAAATGTAAATACATAAAGATTATTTTACCTCTACATCAAAATTTACTATTTTACGTCAAGGTGAAATAACTTCCAATATAGCAGGAAAAGCAAGACGTTTAGGCAGATCGACTCATCAAATTCCCATTAAAATAGGATCCACACAAAGAAAAACACTTACCATTCATTGGTTATTAGAAGCATCCTGAAAACGTCCGTTGTTAGATTTTGTTTATAAAGATAAGTGTCCATCAAATTTTTTACCTATCCAAGCACTCTATTTCACTGTAATATAAATTTTCACTCACATTTTACTTAAACCAAACCAATAAAAGAAGCTGAAATCCTACAATTTTATTGATGCTTATTTCAATCTCAGTCCGTTCAATATAAACAAACACCATGCAAAAATAATTTCCATAGATATTGCTAAACCAACGGAAGTAATAGTTAAAATTACTAAATTACGCTCACGTGGAATGTTAAGCCATGGCATGACCCCAAGAAGAGTGACAATGCACCCTGCAGTAACGACATTGTCTAGTGTCCATTGAAGAGTCCCTATGGTGAACTCTGACATCCCATCCATCACAACCACAACATGTTTGTTAGTGTTTCCTGGGCTTGAAAAGTCATGACCGGGAAGATCGTCGGCAAGTGACGTGTCCAATGCAAGAAGCTTCAGCATTGTATGGTCTGAAGCCAAATTCATAGTTTGAATTAATTTTAGATTTAATGCAAGTAATCGGGAAAAGGGATTAGTTGGGGGCTCATTAATTCCTTATATACATATATTACCACAGCTAAAAAAGCATTGCAGACAAGCGCTTGACATGACCAAGAGCTCCTTAGCAATTGACGTTTTTAAATTTATATTAAGAAAAGAATATCTGCTTAATAGTTTCCGCCCTTAGACATAAGCAATGCTCAAGCTTGGACAATACTCCGATTACAAGCTAATAGGCGATCATACATTTCTTTGTGACTATTAAAATAATAATAATAATAATATATTCGTTTAAAAATTTAAGATAATACCAATTACTTTTTTTAATATTATTTCTACTTAATTCAGTAGTATTTTTACACTTATAATAAATAAAAATATTCATAACGGTTTAAAAATTAACATAAATAAAAATATTAAGTAGATATACAAAAAGCCAAAAGTAATAAGTGTGTTAAACTAAACATGCGCACACCAAACTCAAATCTAGGCAAGTTAGACCAAGAAATCGACTTAGCTTTCGGATATAACCAATGTCAGGAGTTCAGGATGTAACACTTTAGATGATATCATCAAATTATACTAAATTGGAAGCCTCTTTATTATCATTGCCAATTAAATCATTTATACAACCTTGTCCACACTCTTACTGGCTATACTCTACCAATGCAGAAGGCGAAAATATCCAGACAAGGACATTTGTTCATCGCTCGCTCGGGTGTTAAACTATACAATTCGTCGTTTGGTATCGACAAGTTATAGCAAAAAAGATCGCAGGTTTAGGTTTTTCCCTAAAAGAATTCAAGTACATCGTCATAATACCAGAGATTGTTCATCGTGAAACTCCAGCTGCTACAGTGTGGCTGCCAGAAGTATGGTTTGATTTTTTGCGGACACCAATTGTGTTGCTTTTCTTATATGGAGTTGAATCCATCTTTTTTCTCTTCTTGTCCAAAGCTTCCTTTTGACCACTAACTAATTCCAAAAACACGCCTTTCCTGGAGCCAGACATCTTGTTAACGTATTTCACGGCTGCTTGTCTCTCAGAATCCCCCATAAACTTATTTGATGTTCTTTTACAGCTCCCATGACTCTCCATCTTCAAATGATCACGATAAATCTGGAACTTATCTGACAAATCCAGCTCAAGTTCATTAAACAAGTCATTTATAAAAAAAAATATGGGGAATAAAAAAAACATTTAGAAGCATAATTACCAGTAGAATCAGGGGAGCTGGGCGGAGTTAAAGGATGGAAACCACCATTCTCTTTAAAATCAACAACTTCCTGACAGCTATAGTTATTATCAAGAACGGCATTCCCAATAGACGAATTTCCATCAAACATGGCACTACCATTCATGATAGCTTTATTTCCAAACTGCACTTGGACATTGGTAGTTTCAGAGTCATTCAAACCATCACTTTGCTGGTTTGACCCAGATGGACACTGTCCACAGCCATGAGTGGCATCTCCAGTGTCATTTAATTCAAGGAAATCATGTCCTTCAGGACAATAATAATCAAACTGCGGCTCAGCAATATCTTTTGCTTCGCCAACCTCACTGCTTTCATCATTTGAAATTGAAACAGAATTTGATTTATACATGCTGTCACCAACGTCTAAAACAGACTTAGGAGATGTACTAGTATTCGGATCCAAGCAGAGTGCTTGAGATTCCATGATACTTGAAAACCATGGAGTACCCTGTCGTGCATAAAATAATATGTATGCTTCCTGAGACAGCACAAAATCTCCCAAGACCTTGGTAACCTGAAGAAAAATTAACAGACTTTAGAAGGAATCCTAACCAACACAACCCTTAAAAAAGCACAAACCATATGCAAAAGAAAAATAATCATAAAAACAAAAATGGCATTTGCATTGAACAAGTAAAATTTCAAATTGTGGAAGACTGAAGCACTGAAAAACAATTGAGGAAATAACATAAGTAAAATATCACCCATATTTCTATAATAGCAATCCCATGTGCTTTATCATGCATAAAAGGTGAATCCAGCTAAGGTACAATCACTTTTATTGCTATAAAAGTATGAGACTATAAGCATTAAGCAACAATTGTTCCAAGCTCAATATTCAACATGTAAAACCAAAAGTGTGGAAGCATTCCAAACAAACTCAAATAGATTTGAAACAAAACAGAATTGCAATTAATTATCCAGCACCCTGAACAAACCCTACGGACACACTTTTTATTATTAAATATATAGTGTACACAAATAATTAAGCACATCTAGTAGGAAACAATGCTACCTTTGAATCATCCAACTTATGCCATGTGTCTGGGGCAGAGCGTACAAAGCAAAAGTAATGCCCAGAAGTAGATGAAAATCCAATATGTACAACAACAGCAAATAGATCATATTTCAAGGGCACCTATTAACATAAAAATGAATCAGAACACAGAATTCATCAAGGAAACAATAATATTCAAAAATAACCTCTGGCGTGATCTAGTGGAATGTAAGTGTGGTTATAAAATCACAACTCACATCATTGTTTTGATTAGAAAAGGTGTAAGGCTGCAAGTCCAACTCCAATGGGAAATCAACATGTTTATCAATCTTTTCAACACGGGTCCCATCTGTCTTAAATCTCTTTAAATGAAATGCTGCAACTGCAGGTGTTTGATCCAGCATAAGTTGCTTATCCATGGACACCTCTTCCTTGCAGCTTTCACATCTAAATTTCGCATCAATATTTTCCACCTTAGTAAAAGATTCCAGAGCACATGGAAGGGAATCTACATTTTCTATCTCTAAACTCAGGTCAATCAGAGGCTCATAGGTGTCAGAAATACGGCCACAGCCACAACATCGAAGCTGTAATGCAAATACAAGGAAAAAACAAGTATTAGCCAAGACAACATTTTAAATAAAAAAGGAGCCAAAAACCAAAATTACTTAACAAATGCACTTCTCCATCATACTTTGCTAATTAGACGTCCACCAAATACTTTCTCTACAAGATTATCATCTTCAAAATTTATATTATTCTTCTTCAAATCTACGAAACATCTATCAAGTTTATCCAAAGCACACTGCATAAACTCATGGGCATCCTCCTGCTGGTATCTTGTAAATATAGAAGAAAAATCTGTGAAGGTTAAGGATCACAACAACCATAGGCAAAGAAGCAATTAATCCTGCACCAATTATAGGTTTACAAAGCCAATGATACAGCAATCACTACTATAAACACCCCTCAATTATTTCAGTCAAATGATTGGCCACAAGCCCCATTAAATCTGCAAACTAGCTCTACAATAATCATCAGAAAATTGATAAAAGAAGGATACGGTTCAGGTTATCCACAAGTTTCAAGGGTGAAAGAGTCCCTCCTGAAGCCGCTAAGGACCTTTCAACATGGTCACGAAGAGCACATATAACACAGAACCCACCTATATGACCTGAAATTTCCCAACATCAAAAGTCAAAATCTTCAAAAACAGAATTTCATAGTTAAAATCATTACAGCAGATAACACTATTTTACACAAAGAATTTAATAGTTAAAATCAAACAAGAGCAACTCACCCACACAAGGGGTAGAATGAGTGCACGAAAGAAGACCCTGCACCAGGGGCACTGTGTGCGTAAAGCATTGCAGGATAGCATTAAGAAAGCATGTGTTGCCAAGGTTTAAAAGACCCGCTCCCTAACAAACAAATGAGATAATCATTATAGGTGTCATCATCCTTGTGAATAATAATAACAATATTTAAAAACAATCAAAACCCGCGAAAAAACAATAGCGACAAAATACGAACCATCCTAGAAGGTGAAACATCGGAGGCAGATACTCCATCCTCTGAAAGCGCAAAGTTATTTTCAGAGAAAAGAAAGTCCCTTTGGGGAGCATTCGATGCCTCCAACGGCACTGTAGAAACCATCGAATTCGAAGTCAACGCCGACGAACACAGCGAAGACGAGTCATCGTTGAGTCCCCGGAATAGTGAAGACATGCCAAGATCCTCTCGCGGAGCATCCTCACCGAAAATGTCGGCATAAATACCGTCGCCAGAGTCCGCCAGAAGAGGAGAAACGCCGCGAATGGGGGATTGAATGGAAGATCCATCTAAATTAGGGAACGACGGTACCAATTGAGAGTCATCTAGGGTTTCGGATAACAGATTCGGTGCAGAAGGAACATTCGTTGAGTCCTCCGGGACTTCAACGGCTGAAGACAGAGAGAGACACATGGAATTTCGAAACGAGAAGTTAGATATTCTTAGGGTTTCGAAATGCAGCGAGAAAGAAGGTATCGGAATTCTAGAAGAAAGAGCGTTGAATTAGGAGAATGGATATGGTAGGGTTTTTGAACCTTGAATTGGGGAGGAATTTCAGAATCGAAGGTTTTAAATTAGGAAAAGAATTGGGGAAGCGGGGTTTGAGAATTAGGGTTTTGAGATGGGGAAGAAGAGGAGGGAATGTGAAAAGCGTTCAAACCTTTGGAGAGAGAAATGGGGTTTTGAAAAGAGAGGGAAAAGGGTTTGGGGGGTGCCCTGTTTTGCCTCCAAAATATTTTCTGGAAAGTGACATCGCGCGCGCTCTCACCAACACTCTCTGTTACCCTTCCACTGTGGTCAACGTGTTCCTTTTTATAAGGTACCCCCACCGACTTCTCTTTTTCTGGAAATGGATTTTTTATATTCATTTAATGTTAATATGATCAATTTAATTAAAATATTATTAATCATGGAAAAGATATTGAATATTGGTTGAATTTTAAATTGATAAATACTTTTTTAATTAAAAATATTCTAACTTTTTATGATGCTATAAATGAGAATTAGAAGTTCTCACACATATCAATCTTTCAAAAAATTAATTTTTTACTTTTTTAATTTTAAAAATATGTAATCATTTTAAAAAATCAATTACCAATTATGCACTTAATTTTTAATTATTTTATACTCTTTTAAAATAGTAGAAAAATAAAATTGAATATTATATTAAAAACAATATAAAGTAAGGTATTAATTATATTTTTTATTTATTAACTATATTTGAAAGAGATGTATAAAGAAATAAAGAGTCAAATTGTGTGATTGTAATTTGATATTTCAAAGGAAATTAATGACTTTATTTGCTAAGGTGTTCTTCACGCTAAGGATTAAAATATAAATTGTTAAGTAAAAGGTAAAGCATTAAATATTCAAGAAATATATAAAAAATAAATATTTTTCTTTTTTGAACAAATCTAATTCAATAAACGGCTGTAAATAATTATTAAAAAATCCAATAATTTCACATATGAAATTTCATATATATAATTTTGAAGATATCGATAATCTATTATTATATGTTATTTATATGTGGTTTATGGTGGATTAATTCTGAATTGATACATGTTAAAATCCATCTTTAATTATCTATTCAAGACTGATATTTCTGTGTTGAATATTTGAAAATTGTTGAATAAGCAAAATTTTCCCCTGTACGGAAGGGGATAATTTGCACACGAGGGTTGGTAGCATGACTACAATTAATTTTTTTAAAAAAATTGAATAAAAAAGTACAAGCATTTAATGCATTAATTTTTAAAAAATATACATCTTTAAAATCATTTAAATAAAAAAATATTAAATAGAAAGAATATTTATAGTTGAATCTTTCAATTAATGAATGTTCATACATGTATTACTTGCAGTTTAATCGATGGTAACAGAAAAGCTGATTGACCAATGCTGGGCAGAGGCTCAGCTAACTGAGAAATGTAAAGAAGTGCCAATTTTCTAATGGATACAATATAACATCGCTGAGTTCGTTACAAACCAAATCACATCTAACACATTAGCAATCTCAAAAATAATGACACAAAATATAAACACTAGCTTCCGACAGGCCTGAAAATGAATAGTATAATATTTTTGTTTCTCAAAGAATTGTACATTGCACTCTTCTATTACATTAGAAGCATAAGTAGCTATTAACTGATGCAAAGTCCTTTGATACAAAACTTACAATTTTAGAGTATTCGGTCTTGAAGATCAGTTATGAGAGTGGAGGCTAATGAGCTGAGCTTCTTCCCAGTCTCTCCGGCAATATTCTTAAGAGAAGAGATATCTTGTGGCTGCAAAACAAGAAAGAAAAGAGAGTTGCTGAGAACATGAGCAGCATGACAACAGTAAAGTTTACATATCCCGAAGCAAACCTGAAAGGATAGTCGATTAAGGAGGTCGCTAGCAGCAAGATCAATGGAAGAGTCATCTGTTGAGTCACCAAAAAGATCCGCACTAGAGATGGCAGTTGAACCCTGGAAATAAGACAAGGATGAACTTTGTCAAACGTCAACTTTTAAATGCTATGACATTGTCATCATTAAACATGCAAGCAGTGCACCCTTCTCAGTTTCATTAAGATGGGAATTGTTACCTTTTTCTACCACGTGATCATACATTTTTAGCGCTACATTAAGTTAAATTCCATGTGTTGTATTAATGCCTTACTGTCCGTATTGTATTGACAAAAAGAAAATTAGTTTAGCTAATTAATGAAAACATGTTAAGGAAACATCTTATAGACATGACTTTCCAATAGGAAACTGTAACGATAAAAATAGTTTACCCTATTTGCCTGTGTTTTTTTTACGGGACTGGTTTGGAAACAGAAAAACATTCCTTTTTAATCTTCATTTGAAATTTAAAGTTGAAAGTCAAATTTTGAAAATAACCTTTGTCACTGGCTCTTATAACCTTTTCAAATGGGTATATTCAGACAACGTTCCAGCAATTTATTAAGAGAAAGGACACATACTGAAAATTTTGACAAAGTAGCTTGAGCAGCCACATCTGCAGCTCTGTTTTGATCTCCAAAAAATTGGGATGAAGAAATAGATTTAGCATTTGAGAACTTCCTTCTAGCTTCATCAGACTCCTGAATCTGGTAAACAATAGGTGCCAAAACAAAAATAACAATAATATTAAAATAAATCTAAACCCAAAACACTAAGTACATACTATATATGTGATTGATTGGCCATAGTTATTTGAAGTCAAATGAGATAATTAATAAAAGCAATTCGTTTAGTATCCACATGTTACAGGAGTATGCACTATGAAGATAAACTTTCAAAGATAAAATAACATATTTGTTAAGATTTGATAGCTACAATAATAAATGTGTCATAAATTGAAGAAACCTGGAGTCCACAAATACAGCTGAAGTTTTATAATAGACGAAGCATGATAACATTCAATATTCACACCCGCTGTAATCTATTGTCATCAATGTTTCTTTTAAAAGCATCAGTTTGATATAATACCAGTAATCAAGCAATAACTTCATTTGCAATCAAATTAAAATCCCAAAAGGCCAAGAAAGATACTTAACATAATCTCAATAGATGCAGTCAAAAGTTGACGGAACTGGACTTGGTAATTATGCCTCAGAAAAGTTTTAAAACTAACATTCAGCACAAAAATGGAGAAACCTGCCATCGCAAAAGGCTATAATTATAGCACCAAAGTGATTTGAAGATGGAAAACTGCTCGCGAGTTCTCTTTATTAGTGTTAAACACACATGCTAATGTTGTCCCCTACAGCTGTAAATGGAGCCTTGTATTTTGCTAAACAATTTTAATTGAAAAGACTGGACGTCAAACTTTGAACAGAAACTAATATAATTTAATTCACTACACAACCCACATACAGTAAAAGTGAAATTATATAAGGTAAATTTTGCAGGTATGTGGTTGTTAAGTGTATGTTAGCATTAGATTTAGATGTTAGTTAGTATCTGATATCTGTTTGCATTTGTCAATAACTGTCAACAAGGTAGTTAGTTGAGCTGGGATAATGAGCAGAAATAAGGCATGGTGCCTACAAATAAACAGGGGATGATGAGAGGGAGGTATCTTGTCATTTGTGAGAAGAAATTAGGGCCTCTTGGCATTGGGAGGTGCAAGCCATCAAAGTTCTGCGGTGTATGTGTGTCCTGTTCTGTGAATCATAGAGTTCTTTCCCAATTCTTTCCAACAAATATACTAGGTTTCTATCACCAACTTACTTGCACTTTTGAGGAATTTGACCCAGATTTCTTTGGAAGACCACTATCCATTCCGAAGTCTTCAAAGAAGTTTGATGACTTTGGTACAGACACATGACTAAGCAGATGTGTGCCGCCCCCACCTCCAGAATTCAGATCAGATGATTGGACATTTTCTACATACTCAAACCGAGATGTTAATGATGGCCCTGAAAGAAAATTGTGGTTTGTTGAGGAAGTAACTGGTGCTGGTGGTTCTTCTGGTTTCTGCTCATACAGAGACTCATTTGGCTGCATATCACAAGGATAATTTGTAAATAAAAAACATCTCCAAATTGAGTGAGATTGAGATACTTATTATGATCAACTAACAGACACTTATAAGATATTTCTTCCAATAAAATCTGCAAGTAAAGATAATTATTAGCATACCTTTTTAGTAAGCTTCCGGGCACCAAGTCCCCCAGTCTTCCCAGTTTTTTTAGCACCAATAGGTTTCTTGACTGTAGTGGAAACCATTGCATGTGAAGTTCTGGGTGAAGAAGTGCTCTCAGGCATTTCAGCCTTCCCATGAGTATTTTCTTTTGGTAATTCGGTGGTCCTTATTTTAGGAAGTCCCTCAGCAACTTGTGAAGACTGCAAAGCAACAGGTGATGATGGTGAACCTGCCTCCTCAGCCATACTTTTAGCTACTTCCTTTGAAAGAAGTTGTTTGTATAATTCTGCAGCTCTAGAGGTATATTTGGCCTCTATTTTACCACCATCTGTCCAACCGTGTTGCTTAAAGAAAACCTGAGCACGACTGTTTCCCCCAAAGCTCATCATTCTTAATTGCTCCAGACTCCATGAGTCTAAATTTGTAGATCTACATAAAAGAACATATAGCTAATGAGGAATTCATCCTTTTTCCTATCCTTCTATTCAGGTCCAACCTCCCTTTTAACAGAGTAATTAAGCACAGAAAAGGGAGTTAAAAGCAACTTACAAAGATACAGAAGATCAAGAAGATAATTTAATTAGGTGATACAACTGGCCAAGAATTTCAAAAAGCTATAAAACGCACAATAATATTAAACAAAGAAGAGTAAATAACATTTCCTTTCTTTGAGGTTTACCAAACCTAAATAAACAGCTCCTCTGGTTTCCAATATTACTCCAACCTCCCCTGTTGTAAATGTTTATCAGACAAATGCTTCCCATTCAAATATGCTCCATTCAATCAACTAAAAGGTATGTTTTGCAAGGCAGATCAGTGTAATGTTTTCTTAAAACTCTCTTCACTCATTATAGAAATAAATTTTGGTTTTGGTGGTACTACTTTTACTACATTTTTTAAGTATAAAATATCATTTCAGCTTCTCCACCCTAGATCTCCACACAACAAATTAAAACTCAAGGAACATAACATCATTGATCATCCGTCCAATTCTAGCCAACCACAGATTCTATCTATTCAATAATGCAACGAAAGGAAACAATAAACAAGTTTATATAAAATCCGTGGTTTGTAAACAGCCATGTAGTTGTCATACACTATTTTCTTCCACCACGCTTCCAAATTTTTCGCATCACAGAAACACCTGCCCACATTTATTTGTTCTATACAGACAGGTAGATCCGTCTCAAGAGCTTAAGATCTTATGCCGCACCCGGAGATCCACTGGCATTAACATCTTCATTAACAATTAAACCAACAGAATTAACAAAAAAAAGTCAAATCCAGCAACAAGACCTCAACCTCCCCATATAATTACCCCTTATATCAACCCCGCATAGACTATAGAATAATTTCCCCGGTTTCAAAACTCCAGCTTCTAAGCCAAAATAATAATCTTCAGCTACATAAGCACAATTTTTATATTAAATCATTACCTCCTTCAGCTCATCAACATGCAACAAAAAATAAAATAAAATAAAAACCACACCGAGTCCAAAGTCCTAACCATTACCTTCCCAATTGAAAACCAAAGAAGAAAATAATAAAACTTGCCTCACAAAACTGATGTGGACGCCGAGACTGCGATGCACAGCAGAGCAATCAATGCAGAGGAAGATGCCATAGGTGACGGAGGCCCAAGTTGGGTTCTTTGCATTACAATCGAAACACATCTGAAACAAAACGCAAGTGGGGTGTGGCAGATCTGAATGCAAAAACCGAAAGAAGAAACAACAAAGGAAAAATAAGGAACCTTGTTTTCGGACTTTGATTTGAGCTTTCGGAACACGGTGTTCTTGTCGGCATCGGACGCCATGGTTGCCAAAAATTAACAAAATGAGAAAATGAGTATTCAAAAAATTAGGTTATTTATGGATTAGGATTTGGGATGGGTGCTCGGTGTTGGTGGCAGCACAACTCAACACCGCACCTCGCAAAAATAACCACTATTCTTACGTCTCTGTTTCTTTTCTTTCTCCTTCTTCTTTTTCTCTCTCTCTCTCTCTTTTTCGGTGCTACAATTTTTCGTCTTAAAATGAAAGTGATTATGTGGAATGACGATAGCGACCTCGAGTAAGATGTGTTGTTATGTTGTCGTTGGATTTGGCAGTGGCTCCATGGTTGCTGTCTTTCACCTTTTCTGTCGTTACATTCATTTTTTAACACAGACTACTGCCATTTTCCCAACCTGTTATGGACATTTTTCTTTTTGAAATTTGGACCTTAATCTTTCCGTCTGCATTAACATTATACAATACAATCTATTGTTAATTCAATTGATAAAAAAAAATTTATCAATTTATTTTTCAACGTTTTCCCACATGTTCACGATTATATTTTTGCTTTGTGTACAACTTAAGTTCTCATGAATAAAATATAATCCTTCTGTTGCTGATTAGTAATAATTTGATCTATGTATGGATATAGTGAAAAATTAAACTTGTTTATTTTACATTCAGAATAGTCTTTTCAAGCCATACATATGTTTTAACATAAAATATGTGATAAAAAAATATTTAAATGTTTTTTAATTATATTGTCAGTTTAAAATCAGTATTATAAAAATTAATTATATAACTTTAAAATTAAAAGGTATTTAAGCGTTGTTATTGAGTTGTAGTTGTTGAGATGTGTCATAAGCCTTTTCGTGTCATTTTCTTTTGGTCTGAATTAGTAGCGGGTTTTAACCTGTTCCAAAGTGGGCTTCTTTACGATTCCAACAAGTTGGGTTACCTTATTGGGCTCCACGAACAACAAGAACGTCTTACCCAAAGTCCAAAACCACCATATATAGACGTAAGAGAAGCCCTTTATAACTTAGTAGTTTTCAGAATTGATTCAGCCCATGCCAAGAACTGTAATTGACAAGTGAATCGCAGGACTAACGTGAGAACACGTGAGATTTGATTTCTACTTTTTTTTTTGCTCAACTGAATCTCATTCAACATGGCTCAAAGGCAATACAACTATGTCCAGAGGATTATAAAAAACATGACTGACAAGCTTGCCAGTTGGAAATCCATTGTACACAAGATTTGATTTTATGTTTTGTTTTCGGGTAGTTTTGTTAGACATTTGGTAATGTGTTTCTATTTCTATCGTAGGTGCACAGCTTTGTTCTAGATTGGATTGGGCTCAGATTTCTTGGGCCTGCTACCATTACTTTGACCACATTTTGAGAGAGAGATTTTTGCGGAATGAGGCCTATACACTCTCGTGAAAGACTGGTATCATTTAGTATTTTACTACTTGATAGTATCCATTGAACTAACATTCCCTCGACCAAGAAAACAAGAACTAACACATTCCCTTGTTTTATTATGAAGTAAATAAAGAATATTGTAAATCTGATACCAATAAATTGCCCATAACGAAATATTAAAATATAAAAATTTACACTCACATTCAATTATAAAATCATCTCATCGTTGAAAATTATTAATTTTGTTGTAATTATTTTAAACTTTACAATTACAGTATTTTTTTATCTATTTAACAATATAAAAAATTAGATTAACAATGCATCAAAGACTTCAAATATTGTCTTCTCCCGAACACATCCATTGAGAATAATTGACGTCCAGTTTGGATAAATTTTTTAAAAAATTTATTAATTAAAAAATTAATATAAAAAATAATAAAAGTCAAATGAAAATTTTCTAAAAAAAATGTAAAAACAAAAGTTATTTTAACATAAAAAAATATACATATTTTATACTATTTTTTTCTTTTATAAAACTTTTATAGAAATTTACATAATTTAAACCTAGTCTTCGAAAAAACCGTACAAAAGAGAAGATTTCAGTACAAGTGACTTTTATCCTATGAGTTTTAGCATAAAAATATTAGGATAAGGAAAGATGTGCAAATATGTTATTGTGACTATTATTATTATTATTATTATTATTATTATATATCTCATTTCACGAAAAGAAAAGCTGCATTAAAATATTAGGTGATATACATTTATATTCCATCAATGTTTGATATATTTTATTAATTATATGCAAAAATTTTAAAAGAATTAATGACATAATACAATATATTATTCTAAATTACAAGAATAATTCTTAAATTTTTTACATAATTATAAGAAATAAAAAATTCAAAGATATATAAAAAAAATGTAGAAAAATTTGATTCAACCTCAAGAAATATGTGACTGTATTTTATTCTAAGTATTCCAAATTTATTTGCTGCACTTAAACTTTCTCATAGATAGGGTTTTGCAAATCATCACTATAAATTATAATGTTCTTTCTATGTTTCTCGGTATAAGACAATGTTCCATGGGTTGTGGAGGTAGTTAACACATCATGTTTATGATTAATATAAGATTTTAATGCTTTCAAAGTTTAGAAAGAAAAAAAAATAAAAGCATAAGAGATTAAAGGAAAAGAAAAAAAAAGTTAAAAACAAGAGATTGAAAGAATTTATAAACTTTTCATTTTTAATTTAAAAATTTGCGAACAAAAATATTTATTGATGACAATCACAAATCGTGTCGCTGAATTAAACGATCTTGAATTGTATTTCACACAATAAAAACGAAGTTATTAGAGCACAAGTAGGAATTGAAATAAGAAGAAAAATAATAAAAAGTGAAAATAGAATAGAGATGAAAAATGGCACTATATTCGCAAGATTGATAAGCTAAGGAACGATTGTCACAAGAGTTTTGGCTTACTCAAGAACCTAGAGTCACACGCTCTCATAAGAGTGTTCAATTTCAAATTGTATTCAAAACTTATTAAAAGTGTGTATACAAGAGCTTATATATCCCTAATGCTTGTAAACTAATACTAAAGAAAACCCTAATGAGCTTCTTTTACCAACAAGCCTAAATTCAAATAAACTAAATAAAATAACAAGATTTTATCCTAAATAAAAACTTAAAATAAGTAATGACTAATATTAAAATAAATAAACTAAACATAATAATTAAATCCTAATAAAACTCGTAAAGTTCAAATTCTCTAAGCATATGTAATTGACCATCTTGGACTTTTCTAACTTCAAATTAAGTTCTCTTTCAATTAGAATAGCAACAATCTTTTTTAAGTCTTCATTTATTCTCTTTACCCTTGTCCTTGTCATTGGTCCTTGAAATCATTCTAATGTCTTCAAGTCTTTGTCTTTGATGGGTCTTCCTTGATTTTCATCAATCCTTCCTTCTTCAAGAAAGTTTGTCCTCAAATTTGACTATTTATTACCTACATCAACGAGAGATAAATCAAATACATTAAAAGTAACATTAACACCATACTTACCTAATAAGTCCATTTTGTATGCATTATCTCCAATCCTCTCTAAGACTTAGAATAATTCATCCCCTCTTGTTTGAAGCTTTGAATTTCCTTGCATGGGAAACTTTTTTTTGCCCATATGTATCCAAACCCAATCTCCAGGTTCAAATTTTACTTTCTTCCTTCCCTTATTGATATACTTTGCTTGTTGCTCCACTTTCTTTTCAATTTAATGTTTTATCTTTCTAATTTAAGGTAGGCAGTAATATACTTTTTTAGGGAAGACATCTTCAAAATCTTGTAGAAGAAAAGAAACACCACTAGGTAAAATATTATTAGCAAAGGAATCCATAATTTTATTATGAGGACTTTCTTTATACAAAGGTAGACTCATAGGGCGAGAGGCCAACAAAACTTTCTTTACTTCTTTTTCTCTCACAAACAAATTTTCTCTCCTTTCATATTAATTTTTCTCTTCACCTTTCTTTTCACTCTCATATTTCTCACTTGTAAGTGTCTTCACTTTTTTCCCTTTCTTTTTAAGTTTGCCCTCAAAGTCACTCTTTTTCTTTTCATTTCTTCTCTCATCTTTTTTTTCTTGCTCTCTTCTTAACTTCATGACTTTTTGATCTTCATGTACTTGACCAAGAGTCATGGGCACTAAAGTGATTGTGCACCTTTTATATACAAAAGTAAACTTGTTGGAATGACCATCATGAATAACTTTCCTGTCAAATTGCCAAGGTCTTCCCAAGAGGATATGACTTGTTTCCATAGGTATTACATCACATAAGACTTTATCCTCATACTTGTCAATAGAAAAAGTAATCAAAATCTGTCTATTAAGAACCAATTCTCCTTCATCACTCAACTATTGTAACTTATAGGGCTTAGGGTGAGGAGTAGTAGTAAGATTTAATTTTTTAATAAGCTTAACACTAGCCACATTGGTACAACTACCACCATCAATAATAAGAAAACAAATATTTCCATGTACCAAGCATCTTGAATGAAAAATATTTTCTCTTTGTGTAATGTCATCCTCTTTAGCTATACTACTCAAGAGATGCCTTACCATAAGCAAATCTTCTTCGTGACATAAAGCTTCAAATTCATTATCTTCTTCACTTGAAGCATGTGATAATTGAGATGAACTTGCACTTGAGATTTCACCATTTTTCTTCAAAATCATAGTTTTCTTGTTTGGACATTGGGATGCAATATGACATTTTTCAAGACATTTGAAGCATTTGATTGCTCTATGCTGAGAAGTACGAGAAACATAAGTATTAGTAGAATTAAAAAAAGTTTTAGAGGAAGGTTTACCACTTTACACAATTATATCCTTAATTGATATTTTCTCCTTTTTTTACTTCTTCCTTCCATCCTTTTGAGTTGTAGAAAGAGACACTCGTCCCCAAAGTACTCTTTCTTTTTAGTTGTGCTTATACTTTAATAGCTTGGTGAACCAAATCTTCAAGTTCTACATAGGGATGAAGTTTCACTATGTCACGGATGTCATGGTTCAACACATTCAAGAAATGAGTCATTGTCGCTTCTCTTTCTTCAAATACATTAGCTCTTATCATGTCAACTTCCATTTCTTTATAATAGTCATCGACACTTTTGCCACCTTGCCTCAAACCTTGAAGTTTTGTATGAAGCTCTCTATTGTAGTATGTAGGAACAAATCTCCTGCGCATTAGGTTCTTCATTTCAATCTATGTATCTACAGGCTTC